AATAAGTGAACTTAGAAACTTTCTAATTAGACTATACGTTTTAAAATACATATACAATGCGGAAGGGGGGGGGGATGAAAAGTGTTTGGCGGAATCGATGTGTAGATATTATAAACAGTAGCCAGCGGGATCAATAGCCTGCGGAGTTGATATAAAATCGGCGGAATCGATATACGCCCAATGCCCATCTGATTAGCCATTTAATACCTAAGAGTGCAACACATCACCTATAATATATGCATTTTATTATTGTTATACCTACTTCAAACTTTAATAATATTAAAAAACTATTAATTTTTTTATGTCATATAATATGCTATCAGAATAAGTACAAATTTTAAAACCGCATAAATTATGGCAAAACATAGGTTTATTTCCAGTTTTTGAAGTTAACTATTTTTATATTAGAACAATGCAATTAGATCAGGCTTGTATTAAGATAACTTTGTAATCGCCTAATTTGCTTGTACTGTCTTAAAAAAATATCTAAATATTTGTTTAAACACCTTCGGCTTTTTTTGTTTTAAATTTTGAACATATCAAAAGGATTCCTTTCAATTTATTGATTTTATTATGTGTTTAAAAAAAAAAAAGGTTTTGTGTGGATATATAATAAATAATGAAGGCAAATTCAATATCAATTCAAATCAATATTAGTCTCGGACTCTGAATTTTTAGAAATAACATATTTCGATCCTTTCTCTGTTTACTTATATATAATCACTGAAATAAAATCATTTTTTAAATCCCAAAACCCATGGCTCATCTGCTCTAACTGTTTTCTACTTCAGTTTCTCCATCTTCTGATAATGTCATTGGATCTCTGTTATGTAATCTTTTCCAATTATATTCAGTTATTTCATATTATTCAGTTTACCTGCTTTCCTTTTTATAGAACTACAATATTACAATATTATAAATTATCATTACTTCTTCCGTATTCCCTTAGGCCTCAATATTGACTAATATATTTTTTTATTCCTACAATAAAACATAAACAATATTAATTACAATCGATTATAATCRCTCGTACTAGTTAGGTATTAGATACCTTTAAAATATCTTGATTATGTTCCACTGTTTAATATAGTAAACAATTAAATCTTAAGTCTAGTTGGTTGTTGTATACAAATATATTATTTTATAAGATTATATTATAGGTAGAAATTTAATTTCGATTCGTAAAATTTGGTGGCTAAGAGTTGTTTCCCAATTATCCGGTTTGTTACTGGGTTGTCTATAGGTGGCATCCAAAAACCGCACACTTTTTCGGTCATTATATAACAAAATACCCCAAACTTATTGTGGTTAAAACCGCACACTATTTTTAGTGCTAACTAACGGAATAGATGCTAACACGTTTTAACACTTAAGTCACCACTCTTTGTTATTTAATTAGTTGATCTTGTCTCTTGTGTATACAGTATAGGTACATATACAGTGCTTAACTATAGGTATTTATTGGTTTTTTGCCGTTTTATTAAATTATTAAAATATTTTTAATTAGAAATAATAATGGATTTTAAAATAATTGAGAGTAATAAAGGGGGCAAGTGCTTAATACTCGACAATTTTAAATACGGACAATTTAGAGTGTGTAATAGTGGAAATGTGGTTTGTTGGTGTTAGGTGGAGATCGTTTGAAGTTTTWAAAAAATGTCGGTAATAKATTTCAGCCAATCAAACTTTAAAAATTTTACACGCTTTACATTTTTTAATTTTTTTTAATTTTTGTTTGAATGCATTTTTATAATTTTTACTTTTGAGAATACTCGTATATATGCATATTTTTATTTTATACATTTTTACATTTTTTAAATTTAAATACTTTATATGCCTACATTTTTTTTCTCTTAAAATAAATTATAAATTATTAAGTATATCTAATCTAGGTRATTATAACCTTTTTRGGGTAGAAATTAAAAATATGCGGATTATGGATACAACAATTTTAAAAATTGTGCGATTTTAATCTATATTAAATGTGTGCGGTTTTGTTCTGTACTTTATTAACAGTGTACGGTTTTAGGAGTCAATGCTATAGGTAACACACGAAATTTGTTCGTTAACACTCTGCAGGTAACACATATAAATTGGTTCCGATGAGGTTTGGTAATGATAATATAACTACTAACTAGGTATATGTTAAATTTACTTTYCATATCTTTGTGAAAATAATATAACCCTATATTATATCCAGCCATAAAAATATCCTTCCCATTCTACGCATACCTACTTATAGGTCTGTCTAGAATACTTRGGCGYCTAAGACCTAACCACCAAAGTATAATTAAAATTTAAAAATATTGCTAGAGTCAGTCTACCTATATAGGTACATCATTTATGCTGTGTGCCCGTATAATAAAAACGTAAATGCCAACAATAATACAATAATAATAAAATCACAACCAACCATACGATCACAGGTGACTTTGCTGATGATAAAGCTATTATGGCGCTTAACTCTGAACCCGAAATAGCCTTCAACCTCGTTCAAGTCTACTTAAATCTACTCCAAATCTGGTACAAAGATTGGGGAATTGAGATAAACGAATCAAAATCCGCCCACTGTACTTTCACTTTAAGACCAAGGAACTGCCCTACCATAACCGTCAACAACTTACCATCCCACCGAAAACACAAAATTTCCGATATCTTGGCCTCCATCTGGACCGTCGACTGACCTGGGCCTACCACATCCATACCAAACGTATCGTACTGAATAATCGATCCCGTCAATTACGCCTCCTCCTTACATTCAAGCACATCAAACTGAGCAACAAAATACTTCTCATATGGTGTACAACTTTTAGGTTCGGCCAAACCATCAAATAACAAAAAAATTCAAAAATTTCAATCTAAATGACCGGCAAATCGACAAAGTCCCCTTTTATGTCTCGATGAACGACACACTCCATAACGACCTCTCTATACCAACAGTAAAACGTAAAACACGTAGCCAAAACTCTGTATGAACGATTCCACTCAAACCTTTCTATAACCACCGCAATCCGTTAATCTCCAACTTATCTACTCTCAGCATCCCAGGTGACCCTAGTAGACGTTTAAGACGAAAATGGTGTCGGGATGATCTGACTGAATAAAACTATTTTTATTATTTTATTTTATTCTTATAATATTTCTAATTTCTATCCTTACAGCACTTATACTTATTGTAAAATATTATATTTACATATTGTATACTAAAAAAAATAATTATAAAATAATATGGTATCATAATAAATAGGTTAATTGAAATAAATAATATTTATAAAAAAAAAAAACATGGTGAGATAAGTAGGTACCTATACATTTTTTACAACACATATTTTCTACGAATTCTAAGTTCAAAATTTGGCAGTACTTATTAAATTTTTTAAGTATTTTTTTCAACATAACTTTATTACATAACGAATACTTTTTGAGATTAGATATATTTACAAACTTTCCCAGACGTCGGAAAACCTAATAAAATATCATAAGAATATAAGATTATGACCTATTTGTAGGTACTTTTTTAATCGACGACGCCGCGAGAACTTACTACTTTCGCATTGYTTCCGTGGCGCGGCGCCGCCATCGTTTATTGACTATATCAATACACCTATATATATATGTATACGTGTGGGTAGACGGGACAGCTCCCCGACTTATCATGCATGCATTCATGCATTTTCAGAATTGTACATTTTGTATTAATACCTATTTGTACTTATGTGAACCAACTCGAACAGTGTTGTAGATAAGTAATTTTTATTGGAAACCAATTCGTACATACAATTTATTTGATCCGGGAACCACCGCTGCAGTATCACTCTGTTAAATTACAGGTCGGGCAAAATAAAATACCTTTCTCTTCTATGACTCTATCGAACACATTGCAGATGATTCCATATTCTATAGGTTAGGTCTACATCTATATTACCTGCCTAATAAATTTCCTAACAAATGTATAAAGATGTAGCACAGAATAAGACAATGTAGGTTAGGTTCCGCAGTTATAACAACAAATAGAAATATCTATTATTATTTCAAATGATCTATTGTCGCATGCTACGATTTCACTAAATTTTCAAAATCTTCGACCGCGCAGCTGCAGTATTATAATAGCGTTAATGTAGAAATAATTTATTGCAAAATCGATAAAACACTTTTGCCCTAATATCAATGTTATAGATCTAGTAAGTTTGTGCGTTCAGTGTCTAAATATGCATACCTATATTATGTTACTCATTATAACAGCACGACGAATCCCAYGAAGATCTGTCAAATGAGATAACTTTTGTTCTAATCAATATTTTWAAAAATATATATTTAAATATAATTCATAGACACTTGCGCTACCTTTTTGGTATATATATTTATTTTTTTTATTTTTTAATACTGAAAA